TTTGGAAACGCCTTTCTTCCCTTCAAGACCGCACTAAGCAAGAAGGTCAAGTAGTTTCTGGTCGACAGAACGGATCAGAAGGATGGTCACTACTATGGATGATGTGTACGTGCCCATCGATGTGCAAAGCATTATGGGTAAATCTGATCTTTGCCTTGCGAATGGCAATATGTCACAGCTGAGATTTTAATTAGTCAGTGTACAGTTTCTCTCTGATTTTACAGTGAGAATTGATCAAAAAGAGGATTTATTATGATTTATTTTGGAGTAACTAAGGTATGCAGGGCCACATTTGGTCCAACGTAGTTAGGAAGCTGCAGTAACGCAACCTCAACGGCGATGCCAAGGACAACGCTTTGCAGAAAAAAGAATTTTAAAATATATTTTTTCAGTCTCGTAATTATTTGCATGTATTGACTGTCACTGTAGGTGTAAAACGATCCCTTGCTAAATATGTTAAGTGGAAAAATAGGCCGTTGGGTTCAGTTCCAGCATACCCAGCATTGAGTCATTCAGTTGCAAGAAAGACGTGTAACGGGCAAAGTTTATGTCCCGCCCATTAAGGGGGATTAAATTTTAAAACAACATCAAATCTTCAAAATTTCCTATTTCCATAAATTTAACTAATCCTTTGAGAAAAACTATTTAACCCCAAATATACCCAAAAATCACCAAAAATTTACAAAACAGCCCAAAACGTGGATATATGGTATGAGCTAAGAGATTTTTGACTGCTTGAAACGTGAACGAGATATTTGCGTTAAAATCATAATACCCAGCCAAAATACGGCCCTCATGTTAGCCCCGCATTAATTAGCATATCCAGGCTAATTGTTTTTGCGCGTGCAAACTGCGTAACTCAGATCGCAATATCATCCCACTTTAGACGCCATCGAAAAACTTTGCGCGAGTGTTAAACCACAAACTCACGAACTTTACGACATAGAACCTTGCGTGATAAAAATGTATCGTTGTGTATCCTTACAATAGAGGCGTTGCAATTGATGTGTGAAGTATTAAAATTTAGTAAAAATTGAACATTGCTAGTTTAACCTAACCCAAAGTACTAGTTTACGCTGCTTTTCATGGAATTACCTGCCTTTCCGTTTCGGATATTGGTTTGAGTTCATTCGTCTGGAAGTCAATGCCAATCCATTTCGCTGATAAACAATTTTGTGCACATATGAACAACAACAACAACAACAACAACAACAATCTTTATTTCGTGCCCAGAAAAATTTTACAATAAAAATAAATACATGCAATGTGAAAAAATAACAATGYAAAACAGAGCACAGCCACTTAGAAATAGCTAAGGCTAATCGAGCTAAGTGGCTGGGCCATGCGGAAAAAATATTGCAATAAAGTTACAGAATATATGAAATAAAAAAAAAAAAGAAAAGAAAAAAACAGGACACGAACATTGTCACTGTATAAATAGTCCTTTTGCTTTGACGACGTATTTTAAAGGACACCTGGTAAACAAGTTCTCTAATTTATATCTATTCTGAAACCTGTGAAAACAACTTAGAATTGATTTATGCAAGAAGGCATAGCAGAAAATCCGCCGTTACCTTGGCTTTTTGTAGTTCCTGTTTTGAGATATTGCGTATCAATCTTTAGTTTAAGTTTTCCTGTACATTCTTATAACTGAATTTAATTTATAATGTTAAAATGATCTTTGTGATTTTCATATTGCTTATGTACCTTTGGTTTGGCCACACTACCCTGGAGTAGCAATGTAAACTTGGAAAGAAAATGCGTTACACATTGTTTGCTCGGTCGAAGGAAAATATTGAAATGAAATTTGTGCGCAAGCATACTTGACTTAATGTGAACTGCGCAAGTCCTTACATATGCATAAATTCACTAGGGTCTTTGACATTTGATTGATGGTTCCGAACTGCTCGTTATACATGAACGTTCCTCGAGATTATCCAGAGCCGATGAAGATGTATTAAAAGCAGTTTAAACTGGCGCAGGTCTAGATCGACGTTTCATTGTTTGTAAAGGGAAAAATGTCAAAAAGAGCTAATCCCCGACGTAAAAATTTCTTTTACTCTAGGCCAGAAATAAAAGTAATTATAGTGGTGTAAAATAATGGGTCACGTTCGATAGATCAATATTCTAACATGGCTCTGGGGCTTTTGGGTCAAAATTGTTTTGAGTTTCTTTTGTCTCTCAATTTCCAAAAGAGACTTGGATACAAACACCAAATATAGAAGTTTGTCCTGAAAGCCTCTAAGCCATGATGTTAGCTGGTTTACATACAAAGTACAAAAGTACAGAGCTTAAACAAATTCTCACGCCATCGACAGGCGATTTTTTGTTCAACATATGTGACGTGACGTGGATGATCAGAAATAATGATATGCCCGGCATAGCTTAGCACTTCTAACCTCTGTTGCTTGAGTATGCACTCAAGAAGTCCAAGTGTTTCTCTCTTCCTGTCGAGTGCGCCATTTGACCGTAGTTGATCAGGAGAACTCGCACAATATATGAGCTCGTATTGCACTGTCTGCACCGTAGAGTCGTATTTTGTTTTTCTACTGAATATTTCCATCATTGCAATTCCCAAATATCCTCGTGGATGTGACTACAAGTATTCAAATGAGGATTGAAATGTAGATATTGCTGATGGAACCTACGTGTTTACGAAAGTTGTACGAAGTACATACTACACTGAACTCATGAGACATCGGCTCGAAAATTATTTTACTGTTACTGCGGTTGTCCGATTTTCTTTTTTGCATTATCAATACATAAGTTTTCCTTATCGCGCGTCGAACAAAAAGTATTCGGGTCGAATTCCTCGGAACAGTTTAATCGTGCTATGCCCTTTCAATATTCAGAACTGATATTTTTGTGGTTCGATTTATAGGGAAAATAGGGCGGTATGGATGAGCCCGGCAGCCGGGTAAAATTTCAGCCCGGTCGACCGGGATGAAATTCAACAGACTAAACCAAGATGGTGGAACATAAACTTGTTTCGTTCGCGACTGTCTTAGCTTTGTGGACTCTTGGTGGACTCTTAATTAGCTTTGTGGACGCTAATTAGCATTAGCTAGGCTTTTGTATATTATGCTTTTATTTCCCCACTAAAATGCTCCACCTTAATGCTCCATTTTTCCCACTAAAATGCTTGGTTTCCCCAAAAAGCCACTGAAATGCTCGGTTAATGCTCGTTCACAGGTTTTTTTTTTTTTAAATTTTAATGATTTTAACGTTTCAACACAACACTTTAGAGTGCTTAACAAAAACAGATACTTAGTATAACAAGTAACAACAACGTATGTAATAGTTTTAATATGCCAAAAGATAATTCTCAAAATTATCTTTTTTTTTCTGTTAATCCTTCAGTTGTCCCCTTTCAGTGATACTTCAGTGAAGAGGCTAAGTTAAGACTTCATTTTATTGTAAAAAATAATTTTTATTTCTATTTTCTGTGGAAGAAGTATTTGAATTTTTTGGGAAATTGCAACTAAAATGCTCGAATAATGCTTAATGCTTTTGCCTCACTAAAATGCTCGAACAATTGCTAGCATAATGTACAAAAGCCTAGCATTAGCGTGATGGTCTCATGGCGAGGACGCTAGACTCTGGATCGAGAGTCCGGGTGCATGCAAGTCCTGGCCGCGGATGTTGTGTTGTGCTCTTAGGCAAGACACATCACTCTCACAGTGCCTCTCTTCTTCCTGGTGTATAAATGGGTACCGGCGAATTTAATGCTGGGGTAACCCTGCGATGGACTAGAAATCCATCCAGGGGGGAGTAGGATTACTCTTAGTCGCTTCGTGCTACAGAAACCGGGATAAGCTCCGGCCTGATGGGCCACTTGGCTCGTATGTAGACTTTACCTTTACCTTACCTCTTAAACCTAAGGCACAACATATTCGGAAACAGGCCTACATATTTTATCGATCTTTAACATAAACTGAAGTTAGGTCCATTTAAGCATTCTCACAAAATAAACTAGTTTCATTCAAAGCAATTTTCCAGCCTTTCTTAGGCTTGTTGACATACAGGGTGGCCAACCTCAAGCTGAGCTTACTTGTTGTCTTTACGCTTTTTATGCCGATTTGAAGCGATCAAAACAATGACGTAAATAAAAGAAAGGACTAGAAAGGGGTGAGGAGGGAAGATTCTCACTTCTATGGTTCCTTCCTATCACCCCACACGTCACAAGAGATGACGGGGGAGGGGGGAAGGGGAGAGAAGGGGGCTGCTACCTGCTGGCCAGAGTTAATGCTGTCATACTCATGTTTCCATGGAGTTGTCAGAAATAGTCAAAAAGACTTCATAGTGCACACGATATATCAGGGGCGGATCCAGGATATTTCTTAGGAGGGGTGCATCACTAAGTATGGCGCAACTGACTGGTGAGGTAAACAAATTTTAAAAGTGAAAACGACGAAGAAGGCTTCATCTCACAAGGGGGGGGGGGGGTGTGCACCCCCTGCACCTTGCCCCTAGATCCACCCCTGTATATTGTTTATTTCATAAAGATGAGATAATCATTTATAAACTTAGCACAATTAGAAAAATCCATGCTATAGAGCAGTTTTCACTTGACTATCAAAAGTAATTTGCATTCACTTTGGTTTTGCATGACTGCGCCAAGCAATTAGCTTGAAAAAACTCGCACCACTTTGTTTTTAACCTTTACATCAGCAGTAAAACCAAACCTGAAATCTTAACCATCTGTAGTTGTTCAATTTCATATTAACTACATTGTGCTCTAGGAAACTGGTCTTAAAATTAGATCATCAATCCAGTATGCTACATTCTGGAATGATTTACAAAATTAATTTATAAATTTTGTAAATTTTCTTAGAACTATAAAATGGTAAAAAAAGAAAATCATAAAATTATTATAAAATTTAAACAAAAAATTATAAAACTATAAAATTATAAATTTTTTTAAAAGAAAATTTATTGTAACAGTACAAGAAAAAACTGTGTCCATAAAAAAAGAAAATGTTGGGAAAATTCACCAAGCATTGCACTCTTAAAACTTTCTTTAATTAGAGATTGTAGTTAAGTGATATACATGTACTGTTAAGTTCCAAAGTGCAACCGCTCAACCCTAACAATTAAAATTTCACAATTTTAGCAAGAAATACCTTCCAAAAGTAGTGACAGTTACATCCTTTGAGCAGGACTGGCAGTCAAAAACCAATGATAAACGACTGACAGATACCACTTGCAGCTACTTCTCACATCCACTCCAAAATACCTGAACTAGCTAGTTGCACACTTCGAAATTCAATGAGTAAATTTTCTATTATCATTTTAATATCATAATTTTGTTTATTTACAACAGTGCTAAGAGTAGCAATTCCCTAAAGGAGTTGGCAATCTTACTGGAAAAGGCTACCAATTCTGAAAATAACCAGGGTAGTTTCTTTTAGAACTGTAAGGTGTGTTTAATCTTCTACTTGGGGTAGGAGAAACTCCTATAGAGATGTGATGGGGATGCCATTTGTAGCACCCAATAAAAGAAAACTGACTGTTAAAATTTGAAATGAAATGGAACACCCTAAAATGGTAACTAAATGAAAGGTACAATGAGTACCACCTCAGTGTTTTATGGAAAGTCTATCCACTCCCCAGATCTATTAGACATATTTAAGCCTTAAGATTAGCAAGCATCTCTTCGATGTCGGCATCTGCTGACCCTTTGGAAGCTGTTGCTCGCTGTCCCATTGGTAATTTACCCCCATGTGCAGAGGGTGCCTCTGCCATCTGAAAAGTAGAGAAACAAAACGTTTGAATAAATAACATGGCCAAAATAACTCAAAATACCACGACTGAGTTGCTTTTAACAAAATAACTTTTGGTGCCATTCTTTTTCCTCTGACTACCTCCACCTTACCTTTCCAGAGATTTCAATGCCGATCTCATCAAGAACTTGATTGACAACTGCCTCCTGTTCCTCCTCGTCACCAGACTCGTCCAATATTGACTCTAAAGTTTCATTGACTACAAAAGAACGCAAGGCAACAGAGAACTTATCATCATAGGCCTGCAATGTGTACAAAGAGCTAGCTAATATTGCTAAAAGGGCAAATTAGATTGTGGTGTTACACCCTAGAGAACTTAAATATCACTTGTCAGTGCTCCCCCAACATCATCCTTGAGTGATTGTAATGGCGATGTCAGCAATAATTTGTAAAGCTACCAGCAAGGAAGTTACCCCTGTAGCATTATGGTGCAAAGTTTTTTGTTTGAGAACACAAGTGAGAGCAACCTGATCAGGCTAAAACAAAAATTTTAAAGTTCAAAAATTTCAAGGCAATAACCAATAGGTTGGAGTGCCTCCCAAACACCCATCATTACTATTAAACATAATTATGTGAGTTTCTATAATAAATTTAAATGTTAAATCTGTCAAGAACGGGCTAATACAGCAACCAAATTAACAGCTGCATATAGTAATTAAAAATAAACTGTCTAGTAATCAAAGTTAACTTACTCATTTCTTCTTTCATGTCCATTTTTGACGACTCCATTTCAAAGTTTTGTAGAGTATTTTGCAACTGAGCTGGATTCATCTGGGCATTTACACTTCCCATGGTCTGCAAATGAGTGCACATTGTCACAGTCTATTAAATAGGCCAGTAATTTATATAATTTACATGTAATGTAAAATGTAATATTTGACATATAAATGAAATAGCTCATGTGATGTACAGAAGTGTAAAGGAAAAAATAGTTGAATAATATCTTCATATATTTCAACTTATTTTAAGTACGTTGAATTAAAAGATATTTATTTATTGGCCATGCACAAACCAGGCCTGCAATGTAAGCAACTTTAAGGAAAACCTGAACTGCAATTTGTGTTCAGTTTTGTATTATTAACCATACCTTGCTTGCAGTTGACATGGCTCCAGCCATTTTTGCTGTTGAATGCATGGTTTGTGTCTGGTGTCCAATAGCCATCACGCGAGAACTTACATTCATATTCTTAGCTTTCTGTTTTCGTAGATTTACCAGCTGCTTGGCTAAGGTTGTTGCAGCCTAAGTAAAAGGGTTTTAATACAATAATGTCACTTTTGCTCATTTATTAATAGATCTAGGAGTAGAGATATTAGCATTTTTAATGAGCCTGTTAATTATGTACATGAAGGTGGTTGAAAGGCTTGATAGCTTATTAGAAAATAGCCCAAAGAAAATATGCATGCTGATTGGTTAAAAATCCTGTTTCTTTTGACTCGATTGAAACAAGTTGATACAAGTTCCAAATACGTTCATTTCTTTTTTTCATCACAGAATTTTTAAAAGAAATAGAAAACATGTTCTCTGTGTCTCTATTGAGTTATACAAACACTCGTGGAAGTTTGGGAGAACTCGAGAAAGCTTTGGAAACACTTTCTTGTAGGTTTGTATTTCCATAGCATTCCTTGTTCTCTCAAACTTCCACTTGTGTTTCTATAACTTGATAGAAGCACAGTACATGTTTTCTTTTTCTTAATTACATGTATGATATATCTGATCACATAATATTACATTCTGCACCTACATGTATTTAAAGTTGATCCTGCACACTTATAGGAAAGATATTTCTTAGAATTTAGGAAAGATATGGTCTGTGGTGTGCAAAATAAATTCTACTCAAATTGGCATCAGACAGCCACTTGATCCATGTGACCAGTCCAGAAGATGTATTTGGGAAAATCAAAGAATGGTAAATTACTAAAAGGTGTCTCAAGGGGTAAACTGTATTGAGGATGCTTGTGAACAAGTATTCCAATGTTCTGATTCGAAACTTTTCCAGCCATAGAAAAAAAAACTGACCATGGAAGCAAAGCAAAAAAAGAGGCCTCCGCTGTCTGTGTAAATGTTTTGGATTCAAGTAAAACATGTTGAAGACCATACTGATCCTCGTCATTGCTTGCAATGAAAAAATAATGAAGGTGCATGTGTGGATTTCAACAAAAATTAGCAATGTTTTCCAGTTGGATCATTCTCTTGAATAAATTTATTCCTGCAGAAAACTAGTAGAAAAATTGTAATTCCATGTGAGAAAAACATGGAATAATTAAACCATTGGATCATTGTGTAGACTTCCTTCTCTTAAAAGGAGGGACTTTCTGTTTAGGAAAAATTTCTACCTTTAGAAAGTGTTCATAACTAGATTATAACAGACGCTCATACAGGGGAATGTCATTAAAAAGACTGAGGTAGATGACATTTGCATTTCAAAAGAAAGCCTGCATTACCTCAACAGCAAGCTAGTTTCAGTCTGATACCAAGAATATGAATATTGCCTACTGTTATCAACAAACCTGCTTGTTTCCAAGTTTTGCCATTTTCTTGATCTCTGCCTCCTGTATACATATTATGCAAAATAAATCTCATTAAGGAAATTAATCATACACTGCTAGTAAGTGCCTATTTGTAAAATATATTTTCAGTACAACAAGCTTGATTGGTATTGGTATTCAGTGGGTCTTGGTTGAACTTTTATCATGAAACCCCCTTTTATCAAGAGCCCCTGGCTGGGGAGAATGTGTTACCACTTCCAGTGTCACGACTTCAAATAAATAATTACTACAGTAACTATAATTACTATAATTGCCATTGCCATTGCTAATTATTTACTATTACAGTCAAACCTCTATCTTTAGTACATGTATGCATGTTGGTACTAATATAATAAGTTACTTGTTTGCAAATTATTAGTGGTCATTGTAATATTTATTTGTTTGTAAATTATTTTTGTACAAGCAATAAATATCTCCAGCAAAAAACTACTGCTACTGCTATTACTGCTAAAATTTCTATTGTAGTTGAACCTCCATTACAGGTAAGTGGTCACCCCTTATTAAGCCACCAGTTGTCAACCTCCCAATGCAGATAAAGCCCCTACTAACTGGCCACCTTTCGGTTGTCCTGGTGAGGGTTTTCTATTGTCTTTACCCTCATTAAGCAGCCAACCAAAATTTAATACAGGTAGTTTGGTCTTGTTCTGGAAAGGGCAATGACAGAAAAGAGTCCACAATAGAAAGTGATGAGTGATTAAAACATTCACTGACACACAATTATTATGAATGTCTTGACGTGATCCAATCTGAAATCCATGTTCACTAAGCAATTAACCCAATGGTAAATAATATTTGGAGTACACTAACTTCAAAGTAGAGGCCAGGCATCAAATTGTTTGTATTTGAATGAACTGATGTTTCTACCAAGCTTCATGCTAATTCCTGATGATCCCCTATTAAGTGACCAGCCTCTATTGGGCAGCCACCTCTTATTTCCTTGAGGGTGATGGCTTAATAACCTCCTTAATAACCCCCTGTTGTAATATTAAATATTACAATTATTTTAATTAATTCATAAGGATATATTCTGTTCTGCTGTGAGTTTCCATTCTGTTTGTATCGTTATATTTGTGAGTGTGTGTGTAAGTGTGTTACCGACCGATAACTGTATAAATAATCTATGTAACTTAATGTCTGCCCATTCTTTTTAGCCCTTATGGTTATTTTGGGCAGGCAGTACTCTATACTAATTTAATATTTATTGTAATTATTTTATAAATTGTGAGTACAAATAAAAGGTGGTTGTTGTTGTTGTTGTTGTTGTTGTTGGGACCCCCTCTCATAAGCGATCACCCCTCCTCACCGACCAGTTTTCCAAAATACCAAAAGTTTCAAAGTAAGATCAATATATTATTTTGAAACCTCTTGTAAACAACCACAACCACTTTAAGAGCTAAAAGTTTGAAATTTTCTTTTGTTTTTAATCTCCCATAAGCAACTACTTGACAGATTCTAGAGCAGAAATTGGATAATAAGAAGTTGTAACATTATCACATTCCTAGGTAGTACAAGAGATGGAAATATTTCAATGGGAAGTACCAGATTTTTCCACGAAAACGACTTCTCACATGAATAAAACATTAAAACATGGGGTAAGTCTCTGCAGTTCCCATATGCTAAAGAGGCAAAATTTTGATCCAGTATGGTCTAAGCTCTAGTAAGCAACCACCTCCCGTAAGCGACCACCTAGGCTGACATTTTGGGTGGCTGCTTACAGGAGGTTTGACTGTATACTATCACTAACTGATGATCCAAACTTTTAGCATGATGGTCCAAAGGTTTGGTCCAAACAGTAACAAATGTCCAGCTTACTATCTGTCTTACCAATTGCTTTTCTTGTCTTTCAAGTGCAGTCTGATCTCTCGCTAATTGTCTCTGCGTTTTGTTCAGCTCCCTCTTCTGTTGTCGCATTTGCTCTGCAAACAAACATAAAACAAATAAATAAAGGAGAAAATGAATTCTCAAAATGGTGTGCATCAGTGCAGTGGTAATAATTCATAAATGCTCTCAAAAGCATGTGGGAAAGTTGGTGGTTCAAGTGTCATACCATGACACTCAAAGCACCTGTATAAATCATGGGATTGTAGAAAAATTGAAAACCTCCCTGGTACTTGCTTTAGTTAAGACGCTCCTGAAATAAATCAACACCATATAAAACCGTATTTGAACGTATACATCCCTAACAGCTGAGACCCTTAAAACTTGATAAACTTAAAAAATAGCTGCGTTAAATGTTGCCATTAATGGACACAATCAAACTCAGATAGAGATGAAATCCTACCCTTAGGATCCTTCTTTCTTCCAAACATGTTGAAGAGATCAAGAAACGCTTCTGTGTTCAATTCTAGTAAACAAGAACCTGGGACTCACAGAAAAAGCTCTACTTAACAGATTCGTCCGCCATGTCAGTTGCCAAAGATAGGTTCAACCCAGTCCTTCCTCTACCTATGACGTAGTTCTATTTAAAATCATGCGTCATTTAATGACGTAAAAAAAGTCCCAGAGAAGAGAGAGACTGCGAACAATATAAAGCGGTTACAGTTCGGCGATGCTTTAATAAGTCCAGTTTTCATTTGGGCCAAAAACAAACCTGGTGCCATTTAGGTACTATCGCCAAAATGAGAAGATGGTCAGGGAAACGTGTCCGGGCGTGTATACAAACTACAAGGACATAGAGATAGCGCGACTTTTGCGTGACTTCGTTTCACGCCACTGTGGACTATTGGGAATTGTTTACTACGGTTGCCAACCAGTTGAATTTTAAAAATCTTTTGTTGTGCTGATCAACTGGCGATAAAGTGATATGCATACTCAATGTTCTGGCCGTTTACTGATTTATAACAGCTACATCATGTCGTAAAACTGTTGTTCTCCTCCTCAGAAGAAGGTTTATCAAAAGCTGAATTGTGTTTGTAATGGCCGACCAACAACGATCTTTAAGCCCACCACCGACATACGAGGAAGCTATAAACGACCGCGACGATCGTCCGCCGCCGCCATATTCGGAGACTCAAGCGCCGGAATCAACACATACTCCACGATCAGAGCTTCATACACCTACTCAGAGACATTCCCGAGTTTCGCCGATCATTACGAGCCCGGACAGTGTTATAGTAAATCAACCAGGCCGACGAAACGAGAGAATAGGTGCACACAGGGCACGTCAAGAAGATGGCGTCACGCAGCCTCGCAAAAAACTCGTAAGATGTAACTGTTTATGTTCTGCGTTCCAGTGGACACCATGTACATGCGACTGCGAAATATTTTGTTTTAATTGTTTGGGATTCTTATCCTATCTTCTTCTTTGCGCGCCCAGTGTGTATTTGTGCTGGGGTTGCAAGAAAATTTGCCCCGAGACTTGCGGCGACTGCTACACGAGAAAGACCAGTTTAATGGAAAGCTATGAAGAGCGAGAAGACAGCATTCCTGCGCGTGTTTGCTGGTTTTGCATCGGACCTTGTTGTTGTTTTACGTGTGACGGGGAAACGGAAGTTTGTCCTTGTACTGACCTATGCGTAAAACGCTGTGGCATTTGCGCAGTTTTCAAGAAAATGACCTGCTACTGCGGCAGTTACAAGATGTGTGATTACAACCTGAATGTCATGGACGAGCAAGCAGTCGGGTTTATTTGTGACTGCAAAGAAGTGGGTTGTTCAAGTAGTTAGTAGAGACACGAATTGAAACTTATCATTAATCCAAACCACTTTATGCAAAGATTTTGTGTGCTTCCAAGATAAAGATAGATAAACCTTGGGCAGGTTGGAGAGAGGCAGTAAATGGTGTGTGTGTTCATTTACAGCACCAGTGTGTGGAGAAACCTTCTAGATCTATTGTATCAGTCAGACCTGGTTCACACTAGCGACATAAATGACATAATGACATAACATCGTAATCGCTTTACATGTATGTCGGTAATGTGAACATCAACATAAAGACATAACGAAAAGATCTTTTTTTCCATATGTCATTTTGTTCATGCTGTTTGTTACGTTGCTATTATGTCGTTATGTCTGAATGTTCACACTGCAAACATAATATCATAACGTCCTTGTTATGTCACTTACTGGTATGCGAATGCTGTTCTGCCATTATATGTCCCTAGTGTGAACTAAGCTGAACCATCATACATGGAGCACTTGAACAGTCAGTGAGCACTATTCTGCACTCATGTGTTAATACTTCTTTCTATACCTAGTATCAGTTTGTGTATTACAATGAAATGTAGGAACCTCTGCTTCAGTGTTAGGCCTTCTTTTATTTTATATATATATGAGTGTTACTTAATATACTGGTTTTGTATTCTTGGTATTGGACTGGAACTAGCTTGCAACTGAGGCTAAACTGCGGGGAGTCTTTCCAAATGCAAATGACATTAATCTCTTTTTAATGATATTTCCCCGCATGAGTCTCCATTGCAAGCTAGTTCCAGTCCTATACCGAGAATATGAACTTGGTCTATTGCAGTGCAGGCTGGTCCCAACTTTTCCCACAAATTTATGTAATAATAATATTAAAGTTGAATAATAAATAATAAAAAACACAAATAAATGCTATTGCAGTATTGTTGTAGTAAATGGTTTGAACCCAGTAGCATCAGTAGTTCATATAGTGTGATCATCCAGGTGAGGGTAGTTTTGGAAAGAACTGTTGCTGATGACTGACGTTTTGAGCAGAAGTCATCTTCAGAGTCAAGTGAATAGCATGTGCCAGTGGATGGTGTTATAAGTCTGGTACATCGATGGTGAAACTTTGAAAGTGAAACTTTGAAACTAAGTGTGGTCCGCTGAAAGTGTGGTCTTTCAATAGAACAGACTTAAAATACCATCGACTGACAAACACTATTCACTTGACTCTGAAAATGAATTCTGCTTAGGTCATCAAAACGTCAGTCACCAACAACAGTTCTTTTCAGAGCTACCCTCACCAGGACAATCACACTATATGAGCTATTGCAGTATTATGTTACACGGGGCAGATTCTACAGATGAAACCCTTTAGTAACCATCTTCCCAGTAGCAAAGCCAATGTGCTTGCTGCTTGAACACTCTGCCAACAACAACTACAGCATAACAATAATAATGACAACAACAGCAAAAATGAAAAGCTCTTGAAAGCTTTCTCTGAGCGTACTCCCTCCTCCTCCTCCCCCTGGAAAAATCAAACAACAGCAAGAATACCCCAGGGACCTCCTGTTGGGGGACCCAACAGCATACGGCCGAGGGAGGCCTGGCACTGGAGTCTTCGGGTTCAAGATGGCGGATCAGCGCTGGAGATGGGAATATCGACACGGGCCGAATCCAACTGAGGAAAGTCTTAAATTGAGGGTATGGTCAATTTTAACTACGTAGAAAGTTTCTCTTCCCATTAAGCTTTTCTCAAATGAACTTACCAGCTCTCATATATTTCCGATGGCCTCTTTCCTAGGCAAAATATGCCGCTCAATACAAGGCTACTGGAAAGTGGAAACCTCCCGAAGAATGTGCTGATCTTATAGTAAGTGAAATCTCAATCACTCCTCTATTAAACTGTCTTAACTTACATTTTCGTAATCCCAGATAATTTCATATTGCTTGTGAAACTCATTTGATGGGCTTTCGTTCCTTTTTAAGTGTAAAATAACTCGGCTTTTGAACTCTAGACTGTTTACCAGTTGTCTCGGCCGGAGTTAAGACACCTTATTACATGGCTAGCTCCGTGAGCGGTCAAGATGAATCAAATCCTGCGCTGTGATTGGCTACCCAAGCGGGCAAGATGGAGCTATCTTGCCCGCTTGGGACTACCCGCCGTGTCCCCCAAGAAAAATTTCCCCATAAGACATGTGATAAATCCTTCATTGACCAAGCTTGTTCGGTCAAGATGGCTGGATATTGGCCTTGTTCTTTTTTTTTTTTGCGAGTTTATGGACCTCGACTCCGTCTCAGTCCATAAACACACACAAAAAAAGAACTTGGCCAATATCCTGCCATCTTGACCTCACACTTGGTCAATTACCCATACTTAAATGCCAGTGAACCAAAGTCAAAATGTTGGTTACGTGGTCATCAAAATCCAAGCAATGTTAATGGAAGATCAAACAAGAAATCATGCCATTAGTGCAAGCCCATTTCACATCGAACATCATTAGCTAGATATCACTTCTAAATAATAGGTTTTAGGTTTTATACAGCTCAGAAACAAACTTCACCTAGAATTTGCACTGAAAATGTGAGTTATAATATAGATCTTTGACCAATGTTTGTTTTACAGAAAGATCCAGCCATTGAAAAATTTGGTTGGATAAGAGAAAACACAGACAAGTTCTTCAAGTTTAAGCCTCGCAGTGTTCGTAATGCAGTGATGTGTTGTTTGCTTGTACCTGCTGCTGTGCTCTATATTTGCAAGACGCAGGTGATTACCTAACACTGTCCTTCTTCTACTGGGCATATGTATGTTTTATCAATAGCGTTGCACATAATTGCTAAAAATCGATGACTTACATAACCTGACACCCCCCTCATGACTCAGACAAGAATTACAGTCCGGTAGAAGGTTTTGTATGGGTGTGTTATATTCGAGACCAGAAAATCGGGCAAGAAAGGAAGGACTGGTGGCCCAGGTTTTTGATAATGTTAGAAAGCAAACAGTGCTGCTGTAGGTAAAATGTAAAACAGATTCAATGTGTCCAGAAAAGAGCCTAACTGTTGCGAATTGCATGAGAATCGTACAGAGCCGTAATGAGTCCAGTGACAGTCTGACAGATTCAAAAACCTGCAGGAATCGGAAGTCGAGAAATTTTAATGCGGCAGGTTGCAACCAGCTTATCAGATACTTTACACAGAAATGTATTACAAAGAGTATTATGTAGTGTTTATCCAGGTCTTTAAGACACGACTTATTTCCAGAATATTTTCTCATATTTGATGACCCGAGCCATCCACTCTGACAAATACAATATAAAAGTACATCATTATTACCCCTGAGAAAATTCTAAATGCATGGGCAAATTTGGTGTACTGTGCAGTTTGGAGGACCTACATGTAGGTGTTAAGAGAGCCATTTTTTTTTGACCACATAGACAAATCTTTGTCTGTGAACAGACATCAGCTGCATATATTTCATAGATATCCTCGGTACGGCAATATATAACACGGGTTGAAATTCTTGTTATATGTGACTTCAGATAGAGTAGGCCAGTTTCATTACAGCAAGGCGACGAATTGGATCAGATTTACAGCATTTTTGAATGGTATTTCTTTCCCGTTGGCTTGCTGGCTTTCTTGTGAGTGTTTAAACAGAATGTTGGATACAGTGGTAATAATTTTATTTCCTGTTGAGGACGTAAGGAGTGTAGTCCCTTTATACAAAGGATGACTTTCATATTTTGCCACCCTCTTTCAAACTCATAATTGAAAGGCCACAGGCAAGAATGTCCCCTAGATTATTAACTTTTTCATAATTATTATACCAAGGTACATGTTGAAGGTTTTCTCTTTCATATTGAGCTAGAGAGGTTATAGAGAGGTTATGGACTTTAAAATGGAGTGGAAATTAATCAACAAGTATTTTGCTGAAGTGCTCATGAGTGACATTATGTCATACAGTGCTCTCAAAGGAGTAGTGCATGGAATGATTTTTTCATCTGAGTCTCACTGGGGGTTAAATTTTTGTGATGTCATATGTGCGCGACCCTATTGTTCAGTTGCAGGAAATATTCCTGGGCATTCCAAGCAAAGTCATCAAAAATTCTGAGGGGGTAGGGGTTTCAAAAGCCAAAACCAGATGTTTGGTGGTGGTGGTGATTGGCGGGGTGGGGGTTTGAGGGTTGGGGTGTGTCTCACAACAAAGACCTTTCAGAGATCAACTAAAATTGAAGATGAGTTATTATGTTGCAATTAGTAATTATTACTTGATTGGTCAAGCAAGGCAGCTGATAAAACAAAGAAATTATCAACTATGTACATATAAAACAAGATGTACGGTATGTAAATGCAGATCATCTCATGCCATTCAGTGTGAAAAGGAAAGTAGAAACATATCTGTCTTTGCAGGCAAGTAACAAGGATATCCTACTTTTGAATGGATGTCTGGTTCTTGGTTTTTGAGTAGTGACATATATATGTAGACCTTTACATACTCACTATCTATCACAGAATAGATAGTGAGTAGTGTAGCCAATCAGAGAACAGCATTTGCGATAAAACACTAGAAGATTTATATATACTAAAATGGGATAGACAAACAGAGAACATGTTTCCTATTTCTTTTAGAAAATTCTGTGATGCAAAAAAGAAAAAAACTTGATCATCAAAATGTAAATTCTCTTTGCTCGTATCTCCTGTAGTCAATAGCTCGTGCTAGTTCTCTCTTCCTATTGAGTTTTGTATAAATCTACTAGCGTTCTATTACGACTGGCATTCTCTGATTGGCTACGCCACTCACTATCTATTCTGTTGTAGATAGTGAGTAGCATAGCAGCGTGCACTAGGGGCCGCCTCTTTGTGTTTCGAAGCATCTTTGAAGAGGATTTAGATTAAACTTTTGAACGACTAGTAGATTTATACTAAAACAATTCGATTATTTGCTCTGGATTTCTATGCGTGATAGTTGACTTGAGCTTTGCCCTCGTCAACAATCACATGATAGAGATCTCGAGCTCATAATCTTATTTTTAGAAACACAATTTTTAACCAATCAGCACACATTTTCTTTGAACTATTTTCTAAAATGTCATATAAGACACACTGCTTTGGGACTCTTTTAGAGTTACACTGTGAAAATGTTTAAACACAGATTTCATTCTGTGATATCTCTCTTTTTCAGCCAGCGAAGGATGCAATGGGTTAAGAGGGCAAGCAAACCATCTTTCAAAGACAATTTGTTTATTCCCAGGCTGTGTCTTCCTGAGTGTTCTTAACTGGAGTGATGTTAATTTGATTTTCTGATGTAAATAAAGTTGATAAATAAAAATGCATTGTCTTTGTGTAGATTCAATAAACAGGGTTGACAATAATCAGTTTTTGAACCCACTTGCCAAACAGAGTTGTAAGGAGATGCAAGGATCCAACTTACCCTTTTTGTGTAGATTTTGGCCAGGACTTGTATACATTTTCATTGAATTGCATTAACTTGCTTTCTCTTTGATCAAATGTCTTTGATCAAATGAAATTTGCATCCAAGTTCACGCAAGTGCTTCACCATTATTTTTGTCACCCTCATCCAACTTAGTATGTAGTTAGGAGAGTCACCACAAGTTGTTTTTGCTGTATTAGAAATGACCCATCAATTCCAAAGTCCATTTCAACTCGTGTTTTAAGACTTGTGAGTTCATTTTGACAGGCGTTATTGAGCAGAAGGTGAGTAGCCTGTTTTAGGTTTGGATTGCTGGGAACTGGGATGTAGCTCGGTGGCCAAATACCTCACTTCAGTCAAGACCCCTTTCTATTTCAATTCCTTGCATAGAGAGCCAACTTTATTTCATTTGTGCACATTTGTTTGCCTTTCTCCTGCAGTATTTGAGTTTGGGACATATTTAGGGCTGACTTTGGAAAAATCAAGGCTGATCTCTGAAAACGTTAGCCTGCGAATGCAGACAGATTTCTGGCTATTACTTTGTTATGAAAAAGTAGATGAGACATCAATTTTACTGATCAAACTATTAATTTGACTGGATCAAGGAAAGCATGCTGTTGCCTCAGTTCAGGCACGTTATTCAGTTCTCCATGCATCTGGATCGAATTTTAGCTGAATATCCGTGAGATGATCACAGTTCATGGCAGCTCCCGTCCCCCAACTCACGGCTCTTTTTAATAATGTAGAGTGGGAAGCTGGGGCGAGTGATACCCAGCGGTCTTTGCGGAAAGAGAAGCCAAGTTACTTGCTTGTTGCCAAGATCTTTATGCCGAAAGCTGAAAGTGATAAATCACATTGATAATTCTCTATTTAAATGAAATCACGGAGTTGCTGTTGCATGGGATGGCTTAATCATTCTACTTGCAGCCTTTTGTGGATTTTTGGGAGGATGTAGTATGTTAAAGGGCGCTTATTCGTATCCTTTGTAAATCGACAGTTTACTGTCGCAGTTGTACTCGATCTAAAAATTTTCAGTTTTGTTGGTTATTATTTTATATTAGTCTCAATCATTAGCCCATATTTTGCTAAATTTCTTCCTCCCGTTAACTGATAGCAAATAGTTTATGATGCGAGATTCTCTCAGTCTTACGAAGCTGTTTTTGGGGGAATTGTTTATATAAGAGCCTACATAAATTTAAGCTTAAACGTGAGCTTACAACAATGGACGGCCTGTTTAATTTTTTGGTTTACTACTAAGCTTTGATGTATAAAAGCTTATATTTTGGTGAGCCATTTCATTGGCCATCCTTTTGCAAAAAAAAAATGATCACCAAGTGAGGAGAAAATGTTCAACAAATTCAAATTTTAATTCACATGTTCCCTTACCACATTAGACCTTATATAAGGAGACAGGTTAGAAGGTAAAATAGAAACTTGTTATTGTAATAAGGTAATCTATTCATAATTATAAGCTAAAAACAACGGAGATTCTTGTACGCACCTTTCTCACAGAAATAAAAGGTCGTCATCAGTCAAGAGTATGGAGAAAGATAGATACTATTACATTTAAAACCTCTGTTTTTATGTCTGTAAAATCTGTTGAATTAAAGCACATTAGGTCATTTCCTCAAATTTCCTCTTTGCCATCTGGCATGTGATATTCATTAGTATAGAGAGTAAAGACATAGAAACAGAGGTTTGGTGTCAGCATATATATTTCTGGCGGGACAACGCTTTTTTTGTCTGATGCAGTTGAACGTGGCAATCTTGGTTCAGTTACCAGCTATCTTGAACTCAAATTCTTTTCCCTCTTTTTCAGTCATTCAGCTATCTCAAACTTCTCAAATTTGTTTTTCTTTCGCTTAAGAGTTTAAGATCGCATGGTTTAACTCTATGTCATTAGTGTAACAAAAAAGTATGATTAGTTATAGACTGAAGTAGAAATGATTCTTTATTATTATTCCAAGTCTGCCCATCAAGTGATATTGTGAGGTAAATTACACGCTGTCCTAGTCATTCAATACTAGAACCAGGGTATACTTTCCTTGACAAATGTTTAGTGACAAGTTCAAAACTATCCAAAAAGAGCAACTGGACAAGTTCAAGGAAGAACAAAAGGACTCACTGAAGACAAGAGGTGATAGAGCAAAGGAACTATCAAAGGAAACAAATCGTAGAAGAAAGTAAGCAAATGCTGAGTTCTTACTTTCATGTAATCATCATCATCATCATCATCAGCAGCAGCAGCAGCAGCAGCAGCAGCAGCGGGCTTTTTAACTAGATACGCATCCAGGCGTCCTTGGGCGGCCACTTATTAAAGAAAATCATTTTATTTTTCATATAGTTTGCCTTACAAATTGTTCATTATTATAAACAGGCCCTATAGCACATTTTGGATGCTCACTTTTCAAATCCAGGCTAAAACCCTGATCATCATTAAAATTTATAATCTCAGACTTCCATGTGATGCTTCGTCACACATAAAAATTATATAAAATTATAATGCATTAAAAGTTTAAATGTGGAAAATAAAATGACATTACATGTAAACAAACTTTTATAAGATAAAATTGAACAGTGTTTTATAGGGTTCGAGATAAGTTTTAAACAATGTATGTAAATGAATAAATGTTCAGGTCAGTAGGTGTATGGGCCTCCACTTATTTGTCAGACCAGTCAGCTGATGGTATTGATCTGGAGGACTGATTTCGTGATACTGAAGTTAATGCCTTTACAGTGCTTTTCATTTATCTCAAATCGAGAAGCTTCATCTCAGATTCTAGTTTACACCTAAAGAGGTCATATTATTAATTAGAAGAATTCTACTAGTATAGTAATGCAAATGCTGCACTCTAATTGGCTGATCTGCTTGTATACTATCAGCCATTAGAATGCAGTGACTGGAGTTTGTCCACATAATGGCAAAGTTTTCTGATTTCTCTGATGTTTCACGGAACATTTATAAATTTTAAGGGATAATTCAATTGTGTAGTTCCAGAAAATATGGATACCTCCCCCACAGAAGGGATTTTTTTCTAAGACCCCCCACCCCTCTAGACATTCCAAGCAAGCTTCATACATTTCTTTAATTTTTTATCTTACAGACCCCCACCACCCCCAGGAAATTCCAATCCCTTTTGTGGGGGAAGTATGGATATTTTCTTGAACAGCACATTCCCAAGAACACTAAAAAAGGACTGCAAATCATCTTTAGTTCAGCATCTGCATTCCACTTGCTGAAATATCCAGAATAATCTGCAGCTCTCAGAATCAAAGAGTGTGAGACTTCAAATGTTTGACAATGTTAATTTTGTGTTTAGAGCTCTTGAGGAGAGGAAAAAAGAACAACAAGACAATGAGGAACAGATAAGAGAGGAGGTTTTAGCCAGGAGAAAACAAGAGCAGCAAGAGGCAACACAGAGATTCCAAAAAGATACAGTACACAAGAAAAAACTTAAAACACAGGTGAATGGAAGTGATCAAGGTATGTGCTACTAAAATGCAGGTGTTAAAACCAAACTTGATTTATCTTAAACCATTAAGAGAGTGAACTAAATAAACAATAGCCTCCATTTGGTGTGAAAATATCTTTGGATATTTGCCTGCAGACATTATCTGCTCTAAGAAGTTAACAGTTTTCTGAGAGTGTAGCTCAAGAAAACTTGTGAGCTTTTAGGAACAGATTAGGTGTGAGGTCAATTATGCAAGTCTATTTTAGCGCCAAATAGAGGCTATTGTGATTGTTAGCCTTCAAATATTTTCGTAACAGGCAAAGTCTTGAAAATTGGGAAATATCACTTGGATATTTCCCAGTTTTACCTGGTACATATTCAGTCATGTGATGCATTTTAGACCAATGGCGCACAAGCGAAAATATTTTGTGGATTATAATGGGTGATCTCTGTGCTGGTGAAGTGTGAGGCATGATGGCGTAATGGTTAGTGCTCTGGAATCTGCATGGAGTGGTCTGAGTTTGAGGGCTGGCTGGGGTCATTGTGCTGTGTTCTTGTTTCTTGTTGCCTAAACAATTTAGTGCATGCACACCTTATTGATATCCTCACATTTGAGACTGTAAAAGTCTGCATACGAGCCAAGTGGCCTACCAGGCTGGAGCTTATCCCGGTTTCTGAAGCGTGAAGCACTAGGAGTATTTCTACTCCCCCTGGATGGGATGCTAGTTCACTGGTACCCATTTATACACCTGGGTGGAGAGAGGCACTGTGAGAGTACAGTGTCTTGCCCAAGAACACGACACAATGTCTCTGGCCAGGGCTCAAACCTGGACCACTCGATCCGGAGTTGAGTGCACTAACCATGAGGCCACTGCGCCTCCCACCAGTTGAGACTGTACTACTCAGTTATTATTACTTACAAGAAGCTACGGGAGTTTTCTCAGAACTGTGTCAGAGAATGTGAATAAGGGTTTCCTGAAGTACCCTCCACAACCTGCATTTGTTTTATAAAGAAAGGTTCAAGTTCTAATTTTACATTGTGTATATTTTTTTTGCAGAGCCCATTTCAGTTGTTCGTGGTGGTCGCTATGTAGTCAGAGGTCATGTGGTTGAAGTAAAGGATGGAAAGCAAATGCCATACAGTTCTCCACAGGCGACAGAAAGACTTCATCAAGGTGGACCAGCAGTCTGGAGAACTGAAATGCCCGATAATTACGACTTTCAAAGCCGATATAAAGATTTATCAAACAACCACTCAAACAGTGGAATTTTATACGCAATGACTGAAGATAGGCAGTATTCCATGCAGCCTGCCTTTGACCCGGCATATGCAGGTTCTTCATCTGATGGGAAGATTGGTAATGGAATGGAAAACGGACTCGTTCCTGATACATGGACAGTGGCCCAGCAGGAAAAGTTGCGAGCTGATGCCATTGCTATGACTGGACCAAAGCTCGCTTTCATCAATGAAGAGTCTCAAAAGGAACCCCCTGAAGGGGCTTTGCCGTGTGCCATGGGCAGGGACTCGCCAGGAGGGAGTATCACAAGCTTAGATAGTTTAGATGAAGTCCCTCAATTGACGGGGCTTGGAAAAGGGCAAGAGTCGGGAGCATTTTCTAGGTCTGGAATAATTGCCAGGGGAGTTAAAGAAACCAAATCTGCTGGTAAAAGAAGGGTCACCTTTTCGGACAGCATCGAGTTTGATGATGGTGTCACTGGGCAACTTGTCACGGAAGAGAAACAAAGTACCAAAGTTTACACCATGTTGTACGCTCGTAATGCCAACAACTATTACAGCATGCCGTCTTCAAGCCCTTCATCAACAACGAGGCACTCAGGAATGAGCCAGAAGGTCAACAAGTCAACAGTACTGACATCTGCATCCCAAACGGGGACTGAGCAAAGTAGTCCAGTATCCAGTGTAGTTAAAACATCAGGAAATGAGGCTTCCGTTGCAACTGTGGTTCACTCTGACCATCCCAGAGTAAAACCGGTTCCTCTGGAAAGTCCACAAATCAAACCTGAGAAAACACCAGCTTCTTCAAACCAAGAGATTCGTGTTAAAGAGCCAGATGAACCAAAAGATGAAACTGATGTTGTCAGTGATGTGGAGCTTAATGACAGTTTGGAAGTTGAAAAGGACAGCTTGGACGGCGAAGATGATCGTTTAAAGAATGTTCGCTTAAATGATCAAAATGATTTGCAATGCGACGAAAGCAGAGCTGTACACTGGACTGCTACAGTATCTCCCTCGGCGGTGAAAGATTCTTTAGAAAGGTACGTAAAGAGCACTGGTGAAATACCTGCAGATGAACCAATTGAAACGTTTCCGTCTAGCGATGGTGGTTTGGAAGAGAGGAAACCTGTTTATTCCAAGCCAGGGTACATCACAGCCTCTTCTGTTGTCAGATCCGGGTACGAGTATCATTACCCATTTGACAGTAGTGCAGTTCAAGCAGCTACGACGTCTCCACATGTTTACCATCAAAGTACACCAGTGCACGGTGGCGTGCACCTCGCAAGCCAGGGAACATTCCATTCCAACTTCCCTTATCCTTTCTACACCAGTGCTGGGTCTGTGTTAATGGGAGTAGGTGAAGCTCCACAGGAACCCCATCAAATTGGAACTTCACCCATTTCGCTAACCTCTCATTTTTCAACAATAAATTATCGTCCTGAAGGCCGAGAAGTTGCCTATCCGACCAGCTCTCGAGAGATTCCTGCCGCAGAAGCGGTTTCATCGTCTTCTACGGTGAATGTGGGACATACTTTCAACAGTCACACTCCCGCCATCACTGGAGTTAGAGACGGCGACAGTCGGTGGGTTGAAACCAAAAACGAGACAAACAAAGCTGCGACATCTCGACAGAAGCTTACATCTTCGCCTTCCTCGACGGCATCTTCTGCCTCATCAACTAGTACAAGTAAATCCAAAAGATCTATGATCCCGAGACCCCCGGCCACAAAGAAATCTGGTAAAAGTCGCTTTCACCCAGGTGGTCTCCACAGAAAGCAAATTACTGCTCGTCCACGCAAAGCAAACTATAACCATTCTGCTGTATCCGACAGTGGTCACTCGGTAAAAACCGCAAAGACGAGCACAAATAACAGAAATAGCCAAAGGGAACATGCAGGCGAAAGGCAAAACTCAGATTCAAAAAGAACAGAGAGTAGCAGGAATGGAACAGAGAGGATCCATTCCAAACGAGCAAACAGCAACGAGAAAAATAACAGCGCTGATCATGACGATATTATTGAAAGCATCAAACGTAACATGGAGATGATGAGCATGAGAACGAGGACCACAGCAGCCGAGGAACAGCACCAGCGGATCCTGAATTCACTGAGGCTGGAGTTTGGCGATGGTAGAAAGGTGCAGCAGGAACCAGCGGTCTATGGTGGGAATAGCGGAGAGAGGGATGGTGCAGCTGAACATCACATCAAAACACAAGACCCTGCCAGTCGAAGAGTACATCATCCTCGGGTGGGATCGGCTGGATCAAGAAGTGGCAGACCTCCTGCTGGCTTCAGTGTCAAGTTGGATCTTGTCGATGACAGCAATCACCAAGCGGGATTTGATGGATATCCAAACAGAGATAAACCACTTGAGAAGAAGAGTGTTCAAAGAGTACCTAGTGACGGAGCAAGAGGAGTTGTTCGGAAATCCCCGTATGAACCAGTCTTGAACCAGCAGTTCGCTTACGACGACAGAAGACATGAATATCCCACGTCAACAGTTGGTCATTCAACAAGTGCCGCTACAACAAGTCAAGAGCGAGAAAGGCCATTACAGGCGAGGGGGAGCACGCTTTATGAACGGGAGGATAGCGACCAAAAGAGGTCCATATCTCTAGACAAGACGCCTACAGACGATGAAATTAACCACCTCTGGGCCCATGTCCGATCGTATCTTCATGGAGGAAACACCAAGTCCGTCGGATCAGACTCCTGCGTGAACAGAGTTGATGTTCGGCGTTCTAGAACACGCTCCAGCTCGATGCAGCAAGTTTACAATCCGCGCGCTGCTGTCCCGCAGCAGAATCCACCAGGCGGCCAGCTGTTGAATGCGCAACACCTTGGGGTACCCCCTCAGACTGGGGGAAGCACGCTCGGAGGTCTTCGCCGGTACGGCTCTCATGAGGTCCTCAGGAGAGATAGCTCTTCGGATAGTTTGTCATTTAAGAGGTCGCCACTGTTGCAGCACCGTGCTTCGAGAAACAGACGTCCGCAGAAGCACGCTCATGGTCAGAACGGCAGACCGCCATTGCCGCGACAGCATGAGTATAATCCTTCACCAAGTCAGGCTGGACCCTCTGCTTCAGTATCTAGTAGAGGTTAGAGTGTTTAGGGCGAATTCTTTTTCCTTTTTTTTTAAGATTTCGTTTGCAGTCTTTTGCCCTGTCTGTGAATTTATTTTTGGCTTCACTGACAAATTGTATGAGAAAAAGTCTTGTTTTTTTTCTTCGCATGTAAAATATGCGCTTGCTTTAAACAATAGTTTTTGATGTTTTGGTGACGCTGGCATCGAGGCGTTATAAGACATGACAACTACCCCTTTCTTTGCCATTCTCCTCCCCTTGCCCCCCCCTCCCATCTGACCCGTTTCTTTGTGGGTGCATGTGTTAGTAATATCAATCATTCTATTGTAGCCCCGCAGCCATTGTCGCCAGCGGAAATGCAGGCTGTGATGATGGCCTCAGAAAAGGAATTGTTTCATAGGCATCAACAAGATGCACACACAGAGGTGTCTCCTCACCACCAATACCAAGCTATGATGAGCGGCAGAGCAGGTCAGTTCGTCTTTAAATATACTCAGATTCCTGTGAAATGCCTCATTGCCCCGTAAGCTTGGGTGGTTTTTGTATTAAAGGGCGTTTTCCATCGCTTTGATCGCGAGTTAAGATTTGAGATTCTGTCCAAGAAGTTGAGAACGCTGCGTCACTAGTCGTCGGTCGAACGTAAAAAACTCGGCGCCACTCCCTGTTTCTACTGCTTTGGATTCTGTAAGAGCGTGAAGCGTATCGTGTGACGTTTCTAAGAAAACGTTGCCAAAACTACAGTAACAAACCAAATGGTCGGACAACAAGTAGTACAGTGAAATTCGGTATGCTCATTTTTCGTTCAACGTGCATGGCAATTTTTCAGTAAATAAAAGGCTCAAGTTTTAGCGTGAAATTGAAGGATTTCAAAGATCTTTTAGCGATAGTTTAAGTAGGAACTGCGCACGTACCTTGAAAATGTCTATTTGTGCGTCTATCTGTACGTCTATCTTTACGACAACCTGTTACTGTTGGTACCCCTCTCTTGGAAAGTGTTTTCTGCACTTAGCAACGCGCTTATGTGTGTCTCAAAAAATAAGAATCGATTTTGCTTCTTTGTTCTCGTTTTACCCTGTAAACCTGTTGCATGCAAGCGCCCTGGTTTCTTAGGTTTAATAGGCTGAATTTACAGCGGATGTCATCCTTTAGTACGTTATACTAAGTCAACTCTGCATCAAACCGACTGATCCTCTTGTTTGTCCATGGCGGTTTAGGTCCTAGTGCTCTTTCATTGGAGGAACAGCGGTTGCTGCAGTCTTTGGATCGTTTGAACGAAAGGTTAAAAGGTATGAACTATGAACTAAAATACAAGAGTTGAGTAGCTGGCGTGAATTTTGTTTTTTATGTATTGTCTTAGGAATTAATGCCAGTAACAAACCAAAGCCGTACATGGCAAAAAAATGTAAATATCTTGACCTCTGTTTGATATCAGTCACGGTGTTAAAATATTTCAAGAGGGGGAATACAGCTGATTATGAATGGGATTATGATGTTTGAATTTTTTATTTTTTTTTATCTGCAGCCCAAGAGGAAATCACCAAAGCGATTTCACAGAAACCTAGAATGAATGGCGGTGGCCTCCGAAAGACCCAACAGGTATTTATACATCAGATCAAATAAAATCAAATTTATTTTTTTAAACTTAGCTCTGTGAACTACATACATACTGCACAGAATACAATAGAGATAGATCCTTGCATTAAAAGTAGGGAATAAAAATAAAAATGGCCCCAATCTGTTAATTCTGGACGAAAGTACCGTCTCTGGGAGCCATTGGAGTTTCCATAGTTGCTAGGCAACATCACCCATCCTTATGGCGTCATACACAATTGCCACTTCCGCAGAACTTTCGAGTGAAAGTACTGTGTTTTGATTAGATAGTGAGGATCGGATCTCTCGAATTGGGTTTTGAAAGGTATTATGCCTTTGCTTATAAGGCTAACGTTGTTAAAGCTAATTACCTATTTTTATTTTAGAGTCCTTCTGGTTCAGGAACGAGACAAGCGCAGGCCAATCAACATTTGACGACCAGGAACCTTCTTCACACTAGATAATATACAGAAAAACGCCGCGACTATCATGACAGAATGTGCTATTGCCGCGAAGTTATCGACAGTCCATGAACATCACCACACAGTCAGCTCGGATAGCCATAGCGTGACGAATTGAATTGAGTGTTAATAACGCGTGGATATCCATATACACTGCGACTGTTTCTGATCCTCTGTTTCATACAAGATTTAATACCGAGACGCTGTGAACAGTCTAATTTTCGATTATCTTTTTTTAATCATAGTTTGGGGAGGGTTGTTGTGTTTCATAAAATTCATTCGCTATGCCATCAAATTGTAACTAAAAGTAAAAATGCGTTGCTGACAAACTGAGAGCTAGCTTTTGCAACCTCGGTTACGCGTGTCTGCCAAGCTTCTAGATGGTATGTGGAAATGTCCAGCAAACAACAGAAGTGGAGGTCACCAATAGAGATTAAATCTGGCGAATAGAACACTCAGTTTTGTCGGTGACAAGAAACATGCCAAATAAGATTGCCTTCTTTTATTGTTCACACATACCTTTCTTTCAAGTGGTCTCTTGTGTTAGGTTTTGCTTAGGGGTTGTAAACTGGATCGCGAAGGGATGTTTGACGAAAAGTGAGGTTGTTTCATCCAAAGTTCATTCTTCGTATCTTTCCATGTTATGTACATATTGTATAGCGTTCAAAAAACTTCAAGATACTTTATAGTAAAGAGAGAAGTTATTTATTGTTATAAAGCTAGAGTTGTCATGAGGTTTGTAATGGCCTTTGGCTCGTAGATTGTATGTTCGGTGGTGTGTCTATTAGTGGTATTTGTAGAAATGTAAATAAGAAACGAATGATGGAAAATAAATTCCCTTTCTGAATGTTCGTGTGACAGTTGTGCGGGAGAGAATAGAATGGCGGAAAGAGCTGGTATTATCATAGCTTGTGCAGAGCTCTCCATTCCCGCCGGGTCATGTTGCACCTTTCGTAAAGGTCTCACATGAATGGCTTGAAACCCTTTGAGAGGACAATAGAAAAAACAACAGAAACAATGCCCCCTAGCTCGAAAACAATTACAGCACCTGCAATGACGACAGAGCTCAGTTCTACAGTACCGTTCTCGTCCCCAGAGCCTCCGTTCCTTGTGGTCATTTCATCACGTGTAGCACTGGAGACGAGAATGCGAGCTTTCGGACTGCGCTTCTGGAACTCGTTTTGGTGTTTGGCCAAGCGACAGGTTTAGAAACGTAACCGAGCCTGGAAAAGTGAGCAAGAAGACCCGTGCGTCTATTTCATGCCAGCCTCTAACTTTCCGGGACTGGCATCAAGGTTACTGCGTGGCTATCAAGTAGACTTTCCATAATGTAACTCCTTTCCCATAATTTTCTCCTCATAGGTTATTGCGTTGGTATGTTGACTTCATGTCGAAAGTTTATTTATGAAAAATCAACCGAAGAACCTAGGACAATCAAATCTTTACTTGAAGTTCAGTCTTTGTAGCAGTAAATTTTGCCTTCGAGGCCTGCGTTTGTCAAAACGGAAGGGTTCTATTTTCGCAATCATTCTATGATATCTCCAGTCTGTTGAGAAGTCAAATAGTAAGGGTCTGTTCCTCATCTTTGCATGGTCTGGGTTGCATGAAGTTCGCCGGTAAGTAGTGATACTCCTTGGCAGGGCCGAAGCAAGAGAAAAATTATGACTGAGGCCATGTCCATGGTTAAATTCTCTTATTAGGTATTTAGCGGTGTCTTACCTCTCCCCTCAAAAAGACAGCGAAAAAAAAAAATGACTGAGGCGAGTGCCTCGGTTTGCCTCATACTGATCACGGCCCTGTTAGGTAGAGGCACAGTGAGATGCCAAGTGTCTTATCAGAAGGTCACGAAGAGTGAACAGTATAGCGGGAGAAAAGGGCAGTACGAAAGAAAATCCCTATGGAGTGAGCATGCATTCTCGTCCCCATAGCCCTTTTCGCTACTCTAAAGCCAGCACGGCCTTGGCACGAGAAACGAAGGGTTTTGGAGACAAAGGATTTCCCAGTCCTAGATTCTAGGACTTTCGGTATTCATGTATGCAGTCGTAATGTTTCTCGTGCCAAGGCCGCACCGGCTAAGAGAAGCGAAAGGGGTTATGCGCCGGACGAGAATGTACGGAGTGGAGAAAGGTGCTAACTCTGTGCTCTTCCCAGTCCTTCTCGTGATCGCGAAAACGGCCCTTTCCTCGGTTAACTTTTCTAAAGAGGTGCGTGGCAATTGCAAGCAAAACCGCAGAACTACCCAAATTTGCCTCGCATACATGTTGAATTATTTTCTTATGCAAACGGAAAAAGTTACCCTGAAAGAGGCTATTGCTAACGGTCGCAAAGGGGCCGGGGAGGAGGGGTCTTTGTACTGAAATGATGCAGGTGGGCTCCAGTATGATGCAGGTATACTCACCCAGGGTATATATGACTGAATTTATAAAAACCGTGTTAAAGATTTTGCACCATAATAGCTATATGCACTTTGATTTCACGACTCCAAAAGGCCTTAAAATCACTCCAAGCGATAAAGGTCGCTTTATCGCTTGGAGCGAGCGAGCGCTTTATCGCTTATTTACGTAAGCTCAATATATATACTAGGGATGAATTGTCCCTCCAACGAAGTCACAAAAGGATGATTTGTTTATACAACAAATTGGGCCATTCATGAATGTAATGTTCTAGGGGTGGATGTTCTTAGGAACCAAACTGGTGTGTACGTCTTTGTTTCAAACCTCAAGAGGCGATAAGGCGAGGAAGGTGTTTTCCATTTGTCGTAAAATTTCTAACCGAGAATTCCAGTTTCAGTTGATTTCTCTCCTGAAATTTCTGGAATTTTCGGTTGAATGATTCACATTTCAGAAATTCAACAATTTTCGGATTTTTRCGAAACTTTCCAYAAAATTTTCGTACTATTTGCCCCCGTTTCGAAAGCACTGGAATTTTTAGTTGAATGGTAAGCGCCCAAAATTTAATTGTCTTGTTTTCATAAACAAGCAAATCCCACTGGGAAAAGAATTATTAACGAAGTCGAAGTCGAAGTCATTTCAAATTCAAACTTCTACGAAAACAATTACAACCTTTAACGATCAAAAGATAACATTTGTGACCCTCTGTCAAAATGTATATGGAGGAAGCAGCAAACCTTATTTCTTCTCTTCATCAAACACTGAGCAAAGTTGACGCAGTTGTCGCCAATGTGAACGAACGAAGTAAAAGGACCATTTTGCATATCGAGACGGCTGCACAAAGACTCGTGCAAACTATCACCGAGCACAGACACAAATTGGTTTCCAAAGTTTGCGCACTTACCGAGGCAAAACTGCGCGCTTTACAGGGAGAAAAAGAACTCGTACAAGATCATTTCCGAGCTGTTGAAGATGTACTGCGTTGCGCCCAAAATACCGGAGCAGTCGAAGATGCCGAGGAATGGGAAAAAGCATTGACAAGGCAGTTGAATAATCTAAAGGGAGTCACGTTCGACTTTCAGGAGTACGACGAAGATATGAAGTTTCATTTTCTGTACCAGGATGAAAAGCTGTTGGCAGCAATTTGCAAGTTTGGCGGTGTTTTTACGGTTCCGAATGAGGGGCATCCCAAAGAAGACAAAGAGGGCAACTATGAGAACGTTCAACTCACGTTGAACGAAGAAGTTGTAGAAGAAAGTGTTGAGCAATTCGACATGGACAACGACCAAGACGATGTTTTCCACAACAAGCCTTTATTGGTGGAATTCCAAGAAAATTTAAGCAGTCCAGACCAAGTTACAGTACCTCAAACGAATTTCGCAGGAGCAGTCTTGACACAAATATTCGAAGAAACAGTGGATATAACTCAATTGAAGGAAGACTCAAATAGATGTAAAGAGTTGATCAATGAAGAAAAACCACCAAGAGAATTAGAAAAGGTTAAAGGAGAAGACGGAGGTTTAAATGAAATGGAGGAAGGTGGAGACGATGAAACTGTACAAGATACGCTTCGAGAAGAAAACAGGTCTGGCTGTTCTGGTAGCGGGGTTGAACATCCCTTATTAACCTCTGAAGACCACGATGACGAGGTATTTTCACCTGTCGATCAGGAAACATTTAACACTACGACTGAAGATGAACTAATAAAAGATTTTAACAACAACAGTGACAATGAATGGCTGGAAAGCAGCTTTGGAAAATAAATTCTTGCGAGGTGAAAAAAACAAAGACAGTTGAATAGAGTCCCTGTCGATTTGGAGATAAATGAAAATTTACAGCTAACAAAAGGCTAGACAAAATAATTAGTGTATATGAAACTTGGCGGTGACATCCACGATCGAGCGGCTTTGATAGCACCCAGAAAACCGATTTCTTTTTCTCTGAATAGCACGTGAGTATTAAACAGTACAGGTTCTGTACACGTTGCTTTAAATACACAAGATCAACAGATCTGACTCAGCAGTCCCAGGTAGTGAACCAATCACTCGGAAAAACCGGTTGGTCGACAGTTGTAGTAGATGGGACGCGTCAAATCCCGAATGGAAATTTTCACGGGGATGCGCTCGTTCCATTTCCATAGCTTTTTCCCGAAGATAGGATAAAGGGCGATCCAAACCAAAAGGACTAGAAGGCAGCAGTAAAACTAGGAAATGGAACGTACATTTTCCATTCCGAATTGGGAAATTCCGTTTGGGAATTTTAGTCTACCTTTCAAGAAATCCCGTTTTCCCGAGAAAATTTCCGTTTGGGAAGACAAAATTAATCTTTCCATTTACATTCCATCCGAAATTTCCGGATTTTTTGGGTAAAAGGTAAACAACCCCAGTTTTTCACCTGTCCCGCCAGCGACCCACCCGCTGACCGCCGAGGAACTGTGGGCTCGGAACATGGGAGCAATAATCCCAAGCTCTCCAAAAAAAAGCCCGGGGACGATATCGACGTTAAAAACGTGCATATGAGTACAGCGACACCATACGTGTTCTGGCACCTACTCAGTTACGGTACCCACGTTTATGCTGAGAGATCACACGAGATCACGTAATATGAAGATACTTCGGCCTAGTTCAGACGCCGACCTTTTCATGAGCCCAACTTAATTCGAATGGGACCGACCCAAATTATCAAAAGCACGCCTGTTGATTCAGACGTCGAACTTAATTCGCCGAACTTTATTTAGTTTGAAACAAATCCCATCGAAATGTCAGCGATTTTAAGGCAAAGAATAAACTGCTTGTAAACCACGCTATAATAATTTAAGCACTAGGTTCGGCACATATATTTAAAGGTCGACGCAGTCTGAATCAAAGCCGTTCCAAATCCGAAATTCCCGGCTGAAAAAGGTTCGGCTCGTGAAAAGTTCGGCCTCTTAACTGGGCCTGATTAGCTACTTATCAAAGTTAATTTAACCGCCGTGATGAATTTGTCAAGCCGAGTTTCCTGCATTGACCTTTCGTCGGAGCCGACAGATTCTTTAGAAACGAGTACATTTCAGTGTCAGAACAAAAATTGTTCTCTCCCAGGCTATTTAGGGTGTTTATGATGACTATAAACAACAAAAACGAACAAACTGTCGGAGGCAAGAGCCTCTGGTTGCCTGTTACTAACCAGGGCCCTGCCTTTGTAAACGCAGATATCTTAGTTGCTAGAAACAGTCCGCAACTTTGTCTTCACGTGTGGACAGAGCCTTAGTGTTCGCGTTTTCTTAGTAGTTCAGTTATAGTCCAGTCAGACATTGCCAGTTTTAAATTGCTGTTCAGTAAACTTCAGAAACTGTGTAACTGCAAACGCATATTAAAGACATACAGTGGAGATCACAACACAGAGTTGCAACGCTTCAGATTTGTTCAAAGAACACATAACTTCTCTCAGATGAATACCTTTTTATTCTATAAATTACCAGTTGTGACATTAAAACAAACTTTGTTCTACAGTTAACTTTGGAGCCGATAGTTGCAGATGGAATGCGACTAGCTACAACGGAGTGCGTTTGCAGGCGATAGCCATATCTTGCTTTGAAAAGAAACTTATGGTTTGAAAACACTTGCGTCAAAATGTTCGATTTCTTATCGTTCGCGATATTCCAAATTACACGCAGACCTGTTAAATGACGAATGATTGCCCAAAATAAATCTTTTTAGTTCGCTTTTAAATTATGCGAATTTGTAGGAAATGTGGAGAATCCATCGCATATTGATAATGCTACCAGAGGGGTAACTATCAGCCAAGTTCAACTAGAAGAGCTGCATTTCGGAAGAAAAAAATGATTTTAGGATAGAAGTGGGCAGTTGCTCAAGGAGAAGCGATGGGGATAAATTTTCTATAACGAGAAGCCGTAAAACACTGTCAAATCCAGAATTTAGCGGAGAACAAAGACTACAAGAGAAGAGATCAGACGTCAATTTAAAACACGCCGAACCAAAACGACGATTTAGAATACGTCAACCGATTAAAGGGTGCGTTCCTTTGGTATGATTTGGGTCAAGATCAGTGGTCTAAGGTGCGTCAAAGGAACCGATGAATCCTTGCCCACCCTCAGTTTTTCGCGGCAAGACTATTTTAAAGCGAACAAGGTTCACTGCCATTCTTTGAAGCAGGTACTTTAAATGTTATTTTTCTTGAAGAGTTAATTGAATATCACAAGAAGGCTCTACTGTATCCTTGTATATCATTTTATCATTTTTGTATCCACGATATTTAATAAATAATAAATAAACCTTCAAAGCTGCGGAATTCCTCGAAAACATAAGCTTGTTTACCGCAGAGAAACTATGTTAGGAAATGGTTCAAAAGCAGTTGAAAAGAGATTCAAATGCAGACCTCCCTTAAGCTCACGAACTAAGGAAAAAGAACTGGAAAACGATAAAGCGAAATAAAAGAATAATGTGTAGAAAGAAGAACAATATATTAGCTTAGCATATAGCGATAGAAAGAAATGGTAACTGTAAGTATAAAGAGAGAAAATATTGTGACACACTACGCCTGAATACCACATCCGTTATAACTAATCGAATTCTCGCACTTCAAACCGATATAGCAGGTCTATAATTAGGGGCTCAACTTCCCGTTCTCTCTCGCACCACTGCCTGGAGTGCCCAGCGATCCCGGAAAAGCCGGTAGAGTATCAGGTAGTTAAACGCCAGAAGCCCTGTGACCGAGAGGAGCTGGTGCCAAGAATGGGACCGCGTGATCATAAAGAGTTGATATAGGACGAGTAAGAGGAGAACTGCAGACATCCAGTTAATAAGTCGCAAAGGAGATTCAAACATGAACTGCAAAACAATGTCAGAGTTTGTTAGATCCATTTAGTACCAGCCACTACCGAATATTGAATTAGATTGATGAAATAAATACAGAAACGCACGTACTTCACAGTATTTTCACATAGTAAATCTTTTCACGAAATCGTATACTTACAAAAAATCTCCCATGATGCGAGTCTCCTGGGATAGCTACATTGTGGATACCAAGCGCTCTGTAAAGTAGTTTACCGTGTCGTACTAGGACCCCCTGGGGCCATACTGTTAATGCTGACCATCTAGGGGAGGGAAAAGCCAAAGACAATAGCCAAGCGTTATATAGCAGAGGTTTCAAATCAAGTAAACGCCACATTAATGATTACTGGGATATTTTCCAATTGTTTTCTTTCAGTTCAGTGTTAGCCCGTACTCAGACTCCTCTTAGAATCGAGAAGAAAGCGTTAGGCAGCAGCCTGTATCTAATGGACTAGCATTCCAACCCGGGAGGGGATGGGGTGGAGGGCAAGCAGTGGTTGTGGACTTCTGGGTTCCCGAAATTTTATCATAAACGATAGCTACATCGGTAAAACTCTAATGGTTAGTCTTCGCTGCTGCGCAATTTACCGCTGGCGTATAGCAGCTTTTACTACGTTAAAGTTCAATCTACAACGCAGGCGCTAGCGGTGACTGAAACATTTCAATTTCTTGCAGGAAAAGGGAGACAAGCACTTCTTAAACTTTCCAACCTTAAAACTTCCCCGTCCAAAATGAATGATACCGAATCTGACCGAACAAAACTGTTGTTAATAAGAACATAAAGTTTCCGTAACTTACACGTGTGGCGTGTCTCGGTGCCCGCATGGATATCTCTCCCATCCCCCAAGATGCAGTGCACACTTGTGTAGGGCGTCACAGTAGTTGAGCGGTAACAGAAACATCATAAGCATTAGAAGAGAACTCAGCCATACAAACAGCGTGTGTTGACAAGCCCACCACATGTCGTAATACACGTAATGTTGCTGTGAATAATAGAAAATTCAAGGGAATGATCACAAAACACAGCCAAAACACTGGACACTGGATTAGAAACTAGTTCGCATGATAACAGGATCATTTACATTTGAAAAGTAGCAAGGTTTGTATTGGATCAAAACAAAGTCAACTCTAGCCTCGCTTCTGTTCAAAGACCTGAACACTAAGCACGGAAGTGTAAACTGGGTTGTCCAGTCAGGGGAACTGGTAACTCTTCTGGCCAGACCTTGGTTTCTGATGTTTGTTATCCAATCACAAAATAGCGCGGGCAAACACGAGTATAATTAAATATTCGGATACGTCTGTTCCTTAGCAACCCTGATACGTGTTCTTCTAACTAAACCAAAAAAGTGGACCAAACACGCTTCGACCAATCAGAAATCAAAGAGAAACGTCATTCAACCAAGTCGAATTTAAAGTTCACGCAACCTGTCCACGCCCCACAACGAGAACGTCGCAACTGGCTGAAAGTGTTGTTAGGGCGTTAAGAGTTTTAACTGCAATCTGTAGATGTCGTACGATCGAAACTTTAAAGTGCGCAAATTTCCGAAGCGGCATTTTCAATACGTCTGCTCAACTAAAACAACGTATTTTACTTATAGTTATCATTCAATTTGCTTATAATCCTCACCTCTGAAAACTTCATTGGAATAAAACCAACATAATACGCGCATACAAGTGACTGAAACAGAACTTGTTTTATTCGAAGATTAAAATCTGTCCGTAGGCATTCGGCTTCGTACCGGACGGCGTCAGGTGGCAGAGAACACGGCTGTGGCGCTGGAATTTCCTGTTTAGCGTTTCCATTCACCATGATACCTTTATCGAGGAGACTGCTTTGTAACAGCTGTAGCTGTGATAAAGGTCCTAGCTCCTGATGAGGGCTTAGTTTAAGCATTACTTTACTTCCTTGAGGGTCCAAGGTGAAGCCAAATGTAAATAAGTACATCACTAACCTGGAGAAAAAAAACCGTACAGTGAGGACACTCAAACAATAAACCCTTCACGTTTTTGTACATGTTGTTTTGGTGACTACAGAATGAAGGCTCTTTATGTAATGTATAAGAGCAGCGTTTGTCTACACGAAGAGTCCTCATACTACAGTCACTAAAAGGAAGGTCAGCAAAAAGTCAAGAGTTCATGGTTCGAGTGTCCTCAGTGTAAACATAACGTCTGGTAAAAAAGACCAAGGCGATGTAGTTGATTGATTGATTGACTGACTGATTGATTGATTGATTGATTGATTGATTGATTGATTGA